TCTCCTCACCCAGAAAATTTACCCCTGCTGCCCACCGAGCCTTACAGATGGTGGAAGAGGCCTTACAGGAAGCACAATTACAACGTATTGAGGAGTCACTACCTTTTAATCTGTGTGTTTTTAAGACAGCTCAATTGCCAACTGCAGTCCTGTGGCAACATGGACCATTACTTTGGATTCATCCAAATGCTTCCCCTGCTAAGATTATTGACTGGTACCCTGATGCTGTTGCACAGCTCGCGCTTCGCGGAATAAAAGCAGCTGTTACACATTTTGGCAGGGATCCTGATTCCTTGATTGTGCCTTATACTGCTGCACAAGTTCAGACCTTGGCAGCCACATCTAGTGATTGGGCAGTTTTAGTTACTTCCTTTTCAGGACAAATTGATAATCATTTTCCAAAGCATCCAATTTTACAGTTTGCCCTAAACCAGGCTATAGTGTTTCCACAAGTGACAGCTAAAGACCCACTCCCAGATGGGACTGTGGTGTACACTGATGGATCAAAAACTGGTATGGGAGCTTATGTGGTCAAGGATAGGGTTATATCTAAACAATATAATGAAACTTCACCTCAAGTTGTAGAATGTCTGATAGTACTGGAGGTTCTTGAGGCTTTTCCAGGACCCCTCAATATTGTATCAGATTCCTCTTATGTGGTTAATGCAGTTAATCTCCTTGAGATAGCTGGAATAATAAGATCCTCCAGCAGAGTTGCTAACATCTTTCAGAAGATACAAGCTGCCTTGTTAAATAGGAGATTTCCTGTTTTCATTACCCATGTCCGAGCACATTCTGGACTCCCAGGTCCCATGTCCTTAGGGAATGACTTAGCGGACAAGGCTACAAAGCTGGTGGCCGCTGCCTTGTCTACCCATGCACAAGCAGCAAAAGAATTCCATAAGCGCTTTCATGTGACGGCTGAGACCTTGCGCCGTCGTTTTGCTCTATCCAGGAAAGAGGCTAGGGAAATTGTTACTCAATGCCAGAATTGCTGCGAATTCTTACCTACTCCCCACATGGGAATAAACCCACGTGGCATTAGACCATTGCAGATGTGGCAGATGGATGTTACTCATATTCCCTCTTTTGGAAGGCTTCAATATGTTCATGTTTCTGTTGACACCTGTTCTGGCGTAATGTTTGCCACACCCCTAACAGGGGAAAAGGCCTCATATGTGATTCAACATTGCCTTGAGGCCTGGAGTGCTTGGGGAAAACCCAGAATTTTAAAAACAGACAATGGACCAGCATATACCTCTCAAAAATTCCGACAGTTTTGTCGGCAAATGGATGTTACCCATCTAACTGGCCTACCTTATAACCCTCAAGGACAGGGCATTGTGGAACGTGCCCATCGTACACTCAAATCATATCTGATTAAACAAAAGGGAGTATTGAGGATGTTCTACCCTCGGTACCAAGAGTTGCTGTATCCATGGCACTTTTTACCCTTAATTTCTTGAACTCTGATGCCCAAGGCCACACTGCGGCCGATCGCCACAGTTTAGAGCCTGATAGGCCAAAAGAAATGGTAAAATGGAAAGATGTGCTTGACTGATCTCTGGAAAGGCCCGGATCCTATTCTTATAAGATCCAGGGGAGCTGTGTGTGTTTTTCCACAGGAGGAAGAAAACCCCCTGTGGATCCCTGAAAGACTCACTCGAAGAGCTCCTTCACAACTCCAGAATAAGAAGGATGGAGGCCAAGTGGGTGATGAAGACTCTCCTACTCGGGATGATGGTTCCTAGTATGATGGGAGAGTTACGGTGGGCCATCATGTCTACCTTCCCCTACCGATGCCAGTGATGCAGAATGCCCAGGTGTTCCCTAGATTTTTCACAACTAATAGAGAGTTGGGGCTTGCCTTTTGCCTTTAGATCCTCAGATACAGAGTTTTCAGGATGAGAGAACCTTGTCATTAGTAGGAAGCTTGTGCTTTACTGTGATTTCTTCATTAAAGGATAATTTTATTCATATGGATCCAGAAAGATCTAATGCTAATCCTTTTGAATTAATGGAAGCTGTACTGATCTTTCTCCTATGATAGTGAGAAGGGACAGATTACTTTTGATTGGAAAGGGGCATTAGGCAACAGTCTGAGTGAGGGACAGAGCTCTGGATCATCTGATTGGTCCTCCTCCAATGTTAAGTATACCCCTTTTAAGAGAACTAATTATTCAGCTGCCCTTTATTTGGGTTGTGAGTAATGATACCTTAGGTAAGAATCAGAAAGAAATAAATTGCTCTGCTTAGAATTGTTTTTATGCATTATGCTGGGATGCTATTAAGCACCCTTTTGCTTTGGTAATGCGCATGCCTCGATTTGTTCCAGTTCCTGTTGAGGCGCCAAGTAGTTTGAGTTTGTTTAGGGAAAAGCGAGATTTTTGGGATCTCTGCTATTATTGTGGGCCTGATAGCCACCGCCGCGGTTACTGCTTCGGTTACCGCCTCGGCCCTTGCACTTTCTGCCACTGTGCAGACAACTCAAACCATTAATGAACTATCAGGCCACTGTGACCATGGTCCTAGATAAACAGGCCACTGCCAATTCTCAGATACAAGGAGGCCTGATGTTGGTAAACCAACAGATTAATTTGGTTCAGGAACAATTGGATATATTGTGGCAGATGGCCCAATTGGGATGTGAACAAAAGTTGCCTGGCCTTTGTGTCACTTCAGTACAATATGAGAATTTTACAAGAGCAGCTAACCTGTCACAAGCTCTGTCTCAACATTTATTACAGAATTGGACTTTTGAGTTTGAGCAGACACTCCGTGAGTTGAGAATGGCGATCCTGCAAGTGAATTCGACGCGTCTGGATCTTTCTCTGATGGAAGGCCTCTCCTCCTGGATTTCATCTGCATTTTCTTATTTTAAGGAATGGGTGGGGGTAGGATCATTTAGCCTAGTTCTCTGCTGTGGAATAGTGTTGATGCTTTGGATGGTGTGTAAGCTCAGAGCCCAAACAAAAGAGACAAAGTGGTGGTGGCACAAGCACTTGCTGCCTTAGAACACGGAGCCTCCCCTGACATTTGGTTAACCATGTTAAAGCAATAGGTCGCTGGCCTCCCAGCTCTTGCACCCCACGAGGCTAGTCTCATTGCACGGGATAGAGTGGGTAGGCTTCAGCAGCCCAAGGAGTTGCAAGGCTAAGCACTGCACAGGAGAGGTCTGCGGTATAACGACTTTCTCCTGGGAGATAAGTCATCTTGCATGAAGGTTCTATGTCATGATCTCCTTCCCCCAGAAAAACGACATCGGACTGGTCAGGGCTCTCTCTGGGGATAAGACCCTGGAGAGGAGCTTTGTACATGTTCCGAATTTGCACATGGGGATTTGACCTCTATCTCCACTCCAAAGTTGTGGGTGTCCTATTGCTTCAAAAATAAATGAATAGGGGAGATGTGAGGAGCAGCCCTCGCTATCGCTATTGCCGTTAGAAGATGGCGCTGACATCTGCTGTCAGTTGGAGTTAACCGTTTAAGCTGTGCCTCTCCCGTGGCGTCATCTGGGGTGATGTGCAAACCACCAATCCCGGCTCTACACGTCTCACTCGGAGCTCCTAGGCTTATATAAGGGGCTGGGTTTCTTAGCTTGGGGTCTCCCTCTAAGAAGCTGATCATCTATCTCTCAAGATGCATTAAAGCTTTACTGCAGAAGGATCCGAGTGTTCTGCGTCGTTCTTGCTGGCGAGATGGTAGCGCGGGACAAGGAGCAACTGATGGTTGATGACTGCTGGGGGAGATTATTTTTTTTTCCTTGGGGAGTGTAGACAATGGTAGGTTGACCACACTACAGAAGAGATGGCCTCATGAACAGCAATAATTATACTCAGTGGGATAACTAAAAATGGGGAAAACAGAGGAGAAAAGGAGGAGAAAGATGTTGTTGAATATTTGTTTACCTGTGCAAGATGTGCTGCATTTGTTAAACTACATAAAGATGTGTTGCTGTTTTACCTTGCCTGCCTAAAGCACCTGATTGGTCTAATAAAAACTGAATGGCCTATATCAGAGGAGGAGGTATAGGTGGGATTTCCAGGTAGAGACAGTAAGTTGAAGGAGGAATTTAAGCTCTGGGGAGGAAAGGAAAAGAGATGCCAGGGAGACACTGAGGTCCAGACAGACATGGAGGAAACAGGAAAGTAGGAAACATAGGATGAAAGAAACATAAAAAACAACCCAAGGCAAATGTAGATGAATAGAAACAAGTGAAATTAAGAGAGCTAGTGGGAAGCTGGGCTTTGGTGGTGCACACCTTTAATCACAGCACTCCAGAGGCAGAGGCAGGTGAATTTCTGTGAGTTCGAGACCAATGTGGCCTACAGAGTGAGTTCCAGGACAGCCTCTAAAACAATACAGAGAAACCTAGTCTCTAAAAACCAAGAGAGAGAGAGAGAGAGAGAGAGAGAGAGAGAGAGAGAGAAAGGGACAGGCCTAAGCTAATGCCGAGCATTCGTAATTAACAATAAATCTCCATGTCTTTATTTGGGAGCTGGTTGGTGACCCAAAGAAAATTCCAACTACGGGTGGGGTAGAAGAAAAAGGAGAGGAGGAAACATGAATTTGGGAGGAGAACATGTTGAGGGGGGCTCTAGGGAATCTTGGAAGGGGAAAATGGAAGTATATGCTCAAAATAAATTATACATATATTTGAGATTTTTTTATTTTAAATAACATTATTTTTAAAAATCATGATAGAGTTTTATCAAGAATTCAAACAAATATCCAAGTAACAATATCCTGCTTAGCATTATTAATAGAAGTCACAAAGTGCTTGTTAGAGTGTAGCTCAGTGTTACAGTTTTTGCCTGGTATTCCCAAGGTACTATGTTCTATCCCCAGCACTGGGAAAAATATGTGTGTGTATATATCTTGGACTGGCAAGATAGGTCCATGGAGTCCAGTCCCTAGAACATACATGGTGGGAGAAGGGATCCAAATCCTACAAGTTGTTCTCTGATTTCTGTAATCACCATGGCAGCCACATGACAACACACAACAAATGAGTTGTTTAATTAAATCTAATTTTTAAATGATAATAGTAATTCCTCATGTGTCCATGGATGAACTGGCATAGAAAATGCAGTGAATATGACTTCACTGAAGGAAATTTCACTCTTGTCACTGACATCAATATCAAGAGTGTTTGTTGAATGAACCAGTTCCACTTCTTGAAGTCAAGGAGACTGAGTCCACCTGCAGCATAGAGGCAGCGTGAGCACAATTGCATCATTTACATTATTATACATCTACATTATTGTACTATATATACTATATGTCTATATATACACATATATACACACCCATATATTTATCTGTATTAATATACATCTTTATTATACATTATATATTATTACTATATCTCCAAAATAAATTAATATATTCTCTAGTAATAACTATAATTCTGTTCAGTAAAATCTATTGAGTGTGGTGATATATTATTTATGACTTATTAAAGCTTCCCTGAGGACTCATAAAGCAAGATCAGCAACAAGCCATAGCAGCTGGGCACACACCTTTAATCCCAGAAGCCAGAATCTAGGAAGTAGTGTTACATGCTTTTAATCCTAGGACTCAGAAGTAGATGGATCAATGTGAATTCAAGGTTACCCAGATCTAATCAATATTGAATCAGTCCATAAGAGAATTATAGCTTACACCCTTTATCCCAGGACTCACTTGAGGTATATAAAACAGTAGCAAGGTCTCAATATAGAGCATTTATTCTCCAGCCACATTGAAGATTCTCCAGACATGCTGAGGAGAGACAGCAGGATCAGCGCAAACAGCCTCAGCTAGAGGTGAGAGCTAGTGGCCTGCTACTTTGCTCTTCTGTTCTTCAGCTTGAAGTTTGAACCCCAGTTTCAGTCTCTGGGTTTTTTATTTTTCATGTTACAATTGAGGATAAGTAACATCTCTGTAAGATATTTATCTCACCACATGTAAATTCACAAGTGGACAACATTTTCTCTCATGTACAGATAACCAAGGCAATGTAAATTTAAAGGCTAAAGTGTGTGTGGGGGGAGGGTTCATTTGTTTTGTCCAGACAAAGTTTCTTTGTGTAACCCTGGCTGCCCTGGGCTCTGTAAATTAGGATGGCTTCAAATTAAGAGATCCACCTGCCTCTGCCTCCCAAGTGCTGGCATTAAAGGCATGCTCCATCAGACACAACTGAGAGCTGAATTGCTTTATGCAGACAAGTATTGAAGAAGCAAAACTCCAAGAGTCAGAATGGTCATAGACAGACTCAGATACAGAAGCAACTATAAGTAATTTCTGTAAACTAGAGTCCATTAGTAAATGTTTTAAAAAAGAATAGCACAAGGAAAGGTGAGATAGTGAAATCAGAATAATTAACTAACAGCATAAAAATCGTATGCCAGGAAAATAAGCCATATCATGCATAGTTCCAGAAAATATTTTTCCTTGACAAACTGTCTGAATAATTTGGGGACAGGTGCACACCTTTAATCCCAGCACTTGGGAGGCAGAGGCAGGCAGATCTCTGTGAGTTTGAGGCCAGCCTGGTGACTTCCAGAACAGGCTTCAAAGTAACAGAGAAATCCTGTAACATGAAAAATAAAAGACACACAGACTGATACTGGGGTCCAAACTTCAAACTCAAGATCAGAAAAGTAAAACAGCCGGGCCACTAACTCTTACTTCTGCCTCCAGCTAAAAGGGGATCCTGGCTCCACCAAACCTCACACTACAATCCTACACAGCTATGCTCTAAACAACCTGGCTGGAGAATCCTGAGACGGACTCCTAAAGACCATGCTCATATCTTTTATACCTCTCTAGTGCTGGGATTCAAGGTGTGAGCTCTGCTGTTCATTTAGACAGATTAAATCTCGCTGAGCCCTGGGTGGTCTTGAACTCAGAGATCCATCTGCCTTTGTCTCCTGAGTCCTGGGATTACAAGTGTGTATCACCACTGCCTGATCTCTATAGCTTGAGGTGTCATTGCTTTCTGAATCCCCAGGCAAGCTTTAATAAATCTTAAATGATATATTACCACAAAACCTTATCTTGAAAAACCAATACAATAAAATGAAAACAAAAATGATGGTAGGTGGGCCATTGGAAAGTTGAAAAGTAAGAGTCACACAATCCCAATTCGGATCAGGAAATTAAATCCATGAACAGTCACTTTACCTTATCTTTGCATTCATTTGGTGAACTGGAACCACGGGAGTTGGATCCACCAGGTGTCCTTCAGAGAAAAAACATACAATATACATGGTTGAGTATGTTTCTCTAACACTCTGAGGTGTGCAGGGCTGCTGTGGGTTAAACGTGTTTCTGCACTGATGGGATTACTCTTGCAGTTTAAATAAGCCTTCGGTTATCACATTCTACCCTCACTACTCCCAAATATTCAGGAAAACATCACTCACAGTTCTAGTTAGCCATCTATTACAATCCAACTTACAATCACATTAGGTAATGTTTTCAAGGTCAAACAGATACATTGTAGCTCCATCTAGTTTCCTGTAAGTTTCAAAATTTTTGTCTCTATTAGCAGTTGAATAATATGACATTGTGTAAATATGGCATATTTTCATTATTCATGCATCAATTTTGCAGGTATCTTGGATTAATCTAATTTGTGACTATTGTGAATAGAGCAGCAGTGACCATGTGTAAGAAAGTATTTCTGTAATAAGATGTATGGTTCTTTGGGTATCAGACAGAAGTGATACAGCTAGATCTGGTAGTAGATCTATTTCTAGCTTTTTGAGGCACCTCCACATTGCTTTCCATAGCAGTTGTACCAGTTTGCACTCATACCAGCAATGAATAGTGTGCCTCTTTCTGTATGTCCACACCAGTATCTACTGTCTTTCTTTCCTTTTTTAATTTAAATTAGAAACAAGCTTGTTTTACATGCCAATCCCAGTTCCATCTCCCTCCACTCCTCTCCTGCCTCTCACCATTCCACTATCCCATCCCCTTATGCTCCCCAGGGAGGGTGAGGCCTTCCATAGGAGATCTTCAAAGTCTATCACACCATTTGGAGCAGAGCCTAGATCCTCCTGCATGTGTCTAGGCTGAGAGAGTATCTCTCTATGTGGAAGAGGATCCCAAAGTCCTTTCATGTACTCGCGATAAATACTGATCCACTACCAGAGGCCCCAAAGATTAACCAGACCTCCAAACTGACATCCTCATTCAGGGGTTCTGGAACAGTCCAATGCTGGTTTCCCAGATATAAGTCTGGGGTCCATGAGCAACCCCTTGTTAGGTCAGCTGTTTCTGTGGGTTTCTCCAGTCTGGTCTTGACCCCTTTGCTCATCACTCCTCCCTCTCTACAACTGTATTCCAGAGTTCATCTCTTATGTAAAGAGAAGATTTTTCCTTGCCAGCGGCTTGGTTTTTCCATCCGCCAGTCTCCTGGGCTCTGCTGCGTTGTAGTCCCCAAATAACACACAAGATGCTCTATTAATTATGAAACTGTTGGCCTTGCTTGTTTCTTACTGGCTAGCTCTGACTTAAGTATTTATCCCATAATTGCTAATCTAAATATTTCTCTTACTGGAGAAGTTTCTGGGCTTCTTATCCCTATGGCAGTTACATCTTAACTCACTGTGTTTCTCCTACCCTGAGACCTCCTCGACTCCTAGTCCCACCTCTCTTGCTTTCCTATTGGCCAACAGTGCTTTATTGACATATACACAGGACTTCCCCAACACATCTCAGTGTTTAGCTGTGGGACTCTGCTTCTGTTTCCATCAACTACTGGATAAAGGCTCTAGGATGGAATATAAGGTACTCATCCATCTCAATATCAGAGAAGGGCATTTATGATAGCTTTTCGACTGTTGCTTAGAATGTTAGTTGGGGTCAACCATGTAGATTTCTGGACATTTTGCTAGTGCCAGATTTCTCTTTAAACCTTTAATGGCTCCCTTTATTATGATATCTGTTTTCTTGCTCTCCTCTATTCTTCCCCTGACTCCATCTTCCTGCTTTTTCCTGTCCTCCTCTCCCCTCCTCTTCTCCCCTTCTCTTTCTTCCATCTCCCGCTCCCCTCCCACCATGTTCACAATTAGCTCAGGAGATCTTGTCCCTTTCCCCTTCTCTTGGGGACCATGTATGTCTGTCCCTCTTAGGGTTCTCCTTGTTTCCTAGTTCCTCTGGTGGTGTGGCTTGTAGGCTGGTACTCCTTTGCTCTAAGTCTAAAATTCATATATGAGTGAGTAAATACCATTTTTATCTTGTTGTGACTGGGTTACCTCACTCAGGGTAGATTCTTCTAGTTCCTTCCATTTGCCTACGAATTTCAAGATTACATTGTGTTTTTTTTCCCCTGAGAAGTACTCTATTGCGTAATTGTACCACATTTTCTCCATCCATTCTTCAGTTGAGGGATGTCTAGGTTGCCTCCAAGTTCTGCTTATTACAAATAATGGCTCTATGAACATGGTTGAACAGATGTTCTTGTTGTATGAATGTGCAACTTTTAGGTATATTCCTATGAGTGGAATTGCTCCATCTTGTGGTACACTGATTTCCATTTTCTGGAGGAACTGACATACTGATTTCCAAAGTGACTGTATGAGTTTGCACTCCAACCAGCAGTGAAGCAGTGTTCCCTTTTCTCCACATCCTTTCCAGCATAGTCTTTCATTGGTGTTTTTGATATTAGCCATTCTGACAGGAGTGAGATGGTATCAAAGAGTTGTTTTGATTTGCATTTACCTGATGGCTAAGGATGTTGAGCACTTTCTTATGTGTCTCCCAGCCATTTTAGATTCCTCTATTGAAAATTCTCTATTTAGTTCCATCCACCACTTTTTGATTGGAACCTTTGGTGTTTTGGAGACTTGCTTCTAGAGTTCTTTGTAAATTTCGGAGATCAGCCCTCTGTCAGATGTGGGGTTGGTGAATATTTTTCCCATTCTGTTGGCTGCCATTTTGTCTTATTGACTGTGTACTTTGCCCTACAAAAGCTTCTGTTTCAGGAGATCCCATTTATTACTTGTTGATCTCAGTGTCTTTGCTAATGGAGTTATGGTCAGGAAGTGGTCTCCTATACTAATTTGTTCAAGGGTATCACCTACCTTCTCTTCTAAAAGGTTCAGTGCGGCTGGATTTATGTTGAGGTCTTTGATCCATTTGGACTTAAGTTTTGTGCATGGCAATAGACATGGATCTATCTGCAGTCTTCTACATGCCAGCATTCAGTTATGGTAGCACCATTTGTTTAAATATTTTCATTTTCCATTGTATAATTTCAGGTAAATCACATGTTCATAGGTATGTGGACTAATATCAGGGTTCTTCAATTTGATTTCATTGGTCTACCTGTCTAGCTGTTTTCAGGACTATTGATCTATAATAATCTACTTTAAAGTCAGGGATGCTGAAGCCTCCAGATATCCCTTTATTGTACTGGGTTCTTTTGGCTATGCTGGGCCTTTTGGTTTTTTTATATAAAGTTGATAATTGTTCTTTCAAGGTCTGTGAAGAATTGTGCTGGAATTTGATGAAGATTGCATTGAATCTGTAGATTGCTTTTATCAAGGTTGTCATTTTTACTACGTGGATCTTACCTATGCAAGACTATGCTAAATCTTTCCATTTTCTGGTATCTTCTTTAATTTCTTTCTTTAAAGACTCAAAGATCTAGCTCTACAGGTCTTTCACTTGTGTTTGGTTAGTGGTACCACAACGTATTTTATGTTGTTTGTGGCAACTGTAAAGAGTGATGTTTCTCTGATTTCTTTCTCATCCCTTTTAACATCTGTATATAGTTAGGCTCCTAATTTTTTTGAGTTGATATTGTATCCTGCCACTTTGTTGAAGGTGTTTATCAGCTGTAGGAGTTCCCTGGTAGAGTTTTTCAGGTCACTTATGTAAACTCTCATACCATCTGCAAATAGTGAATGTTTGACTTCTTTTCCAATTTGAATCCCCTTGATCTCCTTTTGTTGTCTTTATTGTTCTAGCTAGAACTTCAAGTACAATATTAAATAGTTATGGAGAGAGGGGACAACCATGTGTCATTCCTGATTTTAGAGGAATCTCATGGAGTTTCTCTCCATTTAATGTGATATTGACTGTCAGTTTGCTATATTTTGCCTTTATTATGTTTAAATATGTTCCTGTTATCCCTGATCTCTCCAAGACATTTATTATGAAGGGGTGTTAGATTTAGTCAAAGGCTTTTTAGCATCTAGTGAGATGATCATGTTTTTTTTCAGATTGTTTATATGATGAATTACATTGATGGATTTTAGTATGTTGAACCATTCCTGCATCCCTGGGATGAAGCCAATTTGATCATGGTGGATGATTTTTCTGATATGTTCTTGGATTTGATTTGCCAGTATTTTATTGTATATTTTATATTTTCTCTGTATCAGCTTTCAATCCTTGCAGTGTTTGAAGTGTTTCTTGCCACTTTTGCTTTGTCTTTTCCTCCATTTCTTTAATTTTTTGGTTTGTTTTTTTTTCTTTCATTTCATTAAGGGATTTTTCCATATCATCTTTGAATGCTTCTATCATTTTCATGACATTGTTTTTAAGGTCATTCTCTTCTGCTTCAACTGCATTGTGATTTTCAGGTCTTGCTGGTGTAGATTCTCTAGACTCTGACAGTGTCATATTGGTTTTTCTGTTGCTGAGTGTGCTTTTATGTTGTCTACTTGCCATCTCTTCTTCCACTGGGTACAGAAGGAGTCTCTTCCTCTCCTGGTGGCTATGGGACCAAGGTTCCCTTCCAGTGGGTGCAAGCAGGTCCAATACTCTGGTGGCTCTCCTCTTCTTGTGGATAGAGGCAGTCCTAGTACTGGGGCCTTGTCAATCTCAGAGTGGGCTGGACCCCATCGGGATGGGATCAGCAGTGCATAGTCCCCAGGCCTCAGCTGAATCCAAGCAAAGCACTGAAGGTGGGACTGAAACAGGCCCAGGCTTACCTAGTCCCGTGGGAAGAGAATGGGACTAGAATGCTGGCAGTCTCTGGGTGGGGTGGATCCTGCCAGGATGGGATCCTCAGTGTGCAGTCTTCTGGTCTCAAGTGGTTCCTGCAAGGCACTGGAAAGCCTAGCCCAACATAGGCTCTATTCATGACAATGAAATATGTCTGCTCCTGGCAGCACTAATCTACTTAAGAGAAGATGATGAGCATCCAAGAAACTCACATGGAGTTTACTTTCTTTGTGGTAAAGGTAAGCCCGTGGACAAGAAAGTGCAGTTGCCTCAACTGCTGTCCAAGTT